CACCAAATCAAATTGGTCTGGCCTAAATTCAATAATTTATTAACCAATAGCAACAATATTGGGATATATATTAGGTATTTTATATTTTTATGTATTATTTATATGCTATTTGACTACGTTATTACTAGGGATAGGGATATAACTAAAAATTAATATAAAATAGGATATAAATCAGGTAAAAATTAATATAGGAAATTTATTCTGCTAAAAATGGTGATATAATTCAGTTTGGGATATAACCCAATGGAGATATAACTCGGATACGACTGTATATACATATTTAGAAGGGAAATAAGAAAAATTTTTATGAGTTATAATAACGGCTAACTAATAATTCTATCCATAACAGTATATAAATTAATAAATATTATGAGAAATCACAGAATATTTGTATGTAATATTATGAAAAGCACACATCATTATACTAGTTATACGCGAAACTATACGAAATGATGCACATGAAAGTATGTAAAGATATGCGTTACCACACGTTTTCTGCGCGTAAATGTATACAGGACAAAGCACAGGAAAACACGTAAAGTCATGTAAGTACATGCAATATTGCACAGAATTCGCGCCTTTTTACATGTTGCGGACATGCTTTCTCTTGCATTATTCCGTGTAGTCTAGTGTCTCAAATTTCCGTGCATTGCCGTATTATGACGTGCTGTGATTTCTTATAGGAGTAAAGTAGATTACAAATTGGAAAATTATCCTTTTTAAGTATTGCAGCAATGGATTATCACTTGATTACTTGCATTTTACTCTTAAATTGCATGACAGTTTTAAACTATGATTAATTTCAGCAATATCTTTTTGAAAAAAATATATTAATAACCCGTAAATAGATTTATTTATTATGTCAATTAAATTAACAATTTCAACTAATAATAATAAAAAGTGTTTCAGACCCTAATTTACACTATTAAAAGTTATATGTGAGAAATAACAATGCATTGGAATTAATTCGCAGTAAAATGATAAATATAATTTGATGAAATGATATTAACGGATTGATTAAAATATTTTGTAACTTATAGCTTTTCCTTAATTATAAATATTATGCTAAAATTTTACATCTGCCCTAAATTCATTTAAAAGCACTCACAATACCAAAAACTCTCTCTATTGGTGAACTAGAAAAATGATATTGATTAACTTCTATAGTAACGACCTCATTAATCGTAATTTGAGATTCATCGTCTGTAACATTAATCGTTGGAGTAAAATTTGGAGTGCGCGAAGAAGATTCGCATATAATGCTAGATTTGCAATCATCACTCTGTCTTTCGTTTATCATGTATGTAGTCATGTTTCCTATGCCACCAAAGTTAATTGTTGCAATTGCTATGACATTTATCCATAATGTGTTGTACTAAATGAATAACATGCAGATTAGAAAAATAAAGATAAATTGAAAATTTAACGTGTATTACACGTACATGAACAGTTTCTCCGACAACGTAAATCAACACAGGCGTCCATTGTATGAGGTAAATTAGGATATAGCCAATAATTTTTCTCGTAGCAATTAATTCTACCCGACTTAGTCTTAGTTTAGGAGCAGTTTGATCATATTCTCTAATAAGACTTTGCCGAGAATTTATTTCTCGCAAAGTCATAAAGTAACAATATATTGTCATAATAAACAGCGAATAATTCATCAAAATAAATAATGCTGATGATATCGGAACGCCTTCAGTAAAACACCTATCAATTATAAAGTTGAGCTTTATCACAAGTTATTGAATATTGAAAGATAATGTTTAAAACATACCAATATTTATTTGGACCAAATGATTTGTGTAAAAGAATGGTAAATCCAATATTAAATAGTATAGTAAAGAGAAACAACCGGTAATCATACTTTCCCAAGTTGACATGATACTTTTTACATATTTTAAGGTAAGTTATCATTGCTATTGATCCTACTAAACTTGCATTATATCCGAAGGCGAAGAACAGAAATCCACCGATCACTTTACAACTAATTCCTTCAAATGGATGACCATTTATTAACGTATATAACTATGCAGCAGAAATTATATTAGTAAAACTTAATATATGAGGTTTTTTTTAGGATTAAAAGAAGGAATAATTACAAGATTTGGTATGTTGTTACCAATTAACAACAAATCTAGAAAATTTGGACAAGATAATTAAAGAAATATGAATTCAAATAGTCAAATACAAAAATACACGAGTTTACATCATGTAGAAAATTAATAGCGCACCGGAAGTTGCAATATATAGAGGAACTCTATAAGCCATTGACAGAGTTTTTTTTCGTCACTAGCCATCGACTTAATGACCTTGCGATCACATAAAGAGTGCAAAAAGATTCAATGTAGCGAAAGCTAGACCGGTCAGCAAAACAACATATAGTTCAGAAATATTTTGATGATTATCCATACTATATGAATTATTCGCGACGCTGTCCTGTCCGAAAATTGTAAAAAAGCAATCATGTCAAAATTGAATTTATAAAAATAGGATGATCTCAGAGTTTATTGGTATTAACGAATCAGTCCTTTAAAAAACAAATTAGTCTAC